ACGAAGAACCTTAAGTTGGCCCTAACATTTAATTTGAGGTTAAAAGACCTATTGAGGAAACTAACATACCTCCACCACTTCCTTATAGATTTGATAGAGGACGTCATACACCTAGTTATATAGATACTATATTACTGAGGTAAATGGGTCACTGGTAGATAACAATCATAGTATAACAAATATCGAAAGCTATGACAGACCCTAAAGGCTGCAAGATGGAAGGATGTCGTGGAGAGCAGGATTCAGTCCATGTATGTTTGAAACGTGGTTGATCAAACACTTGGCATTAAAACCGTTATGTGTAAGTAGATCTTCAAGAATAGACAAACATGGATAGGAAATAACACATATTTAAACCAAGATAGGTTGTGGAGGATGTTAAGCTTATGAAGTTTATTTATGGACTAAAACAAACATCTCGTAATTAGAATCTTGAGTAAATTACACGATTCGTCCCTTGTCCAAGTGCCAAAAAGCACGTTCGGTCCCTATTTTCAAAAATTAACTCGGACTGTCCTTCGTTTGGTTTAAAATTGCACGTATCATCCCTGCTTAACATAAAATGACTATGTTGCCCTTCCCCCATTTCTTTTTTGATTTCTTTTTAGTTTGTTTATTATATGTAATATAAAAAATAAATAAATAAAAGAAATGTGGACCACCCCTCAAGCCCTTCTCCTCCACCGTCATGAACCCTCTTTATCACATGTCATCTACGTTGCTGACCAAAATTGTGACATCCTCATTTTCACGGCCAGAAAAGACCGATTTGTTTATGCTTTATTTTGAAAATCAGAGTAACCTTTTAAAGAAAAGTGTTGCGGAATTTGTTCCCAGAAAAACATGATAAATACGTTATCAAGCATTTCCGAAGAAATGTGTTTTATTCATTTTTAAAACATTGGGATGTCATCGTCAATACAGAAACAGAAGCATAAACAGAACTTACATTCATTATCACTAGTGATTTACATCTCCTTAATCTCTCATTGTAATGTAACTTCATATAGACACCTGTGATACAAATAAACTGAGTGGGACTGGTTGGGAAACCTGGTGAGTACATAGGGTTTTCAACCATCAATAATATAATTATTATGTTTAAACATCAAACAATCAACCCAATTACCCATCCCCGTTATCTTCTTTACTCTTAAGGATCTACCCTAAGAATCAGTTATTCCTCGTTCATTCATTCCTAAGGATCATCCTAAGGAATCGGCACGAAGTCCATCGTTGCCACGGTTTACACAACAGGCACTAAGTCTGCATAGTCGCCAGGGTTTAGGCGCCAAGTCTGCATGGTCGCCAGGGTTTAGGCACCAAGTCTGCATGATCGCCAAGGTTTAGACACCAAGTCTGCATGATCGCCAGGGTTTAGAGTACACCGGGTGAACACATCGTTCACAACACCTACAGGTTGCGAGCCTGCTAGTGTTCCACTGGACTGTCTAGAATAGTCCGTGGTTGGCATCCATACTCTGCTAGATGACGGGGCCACGCTTGGGTAAAAGGCTTCTCTCATTGTTCACCTCTCACCCTTATCTCATGGTCTATATCACCTCTTATCTCAACATTCAATTCATATTTCATCTACCCATGTTTTACCTAACATATTTTGTAGATATAAAATACATATACATTTTAAATCATTTAAAACATGTATAAAATCTTTCATTCAGCATAGACAGCAAGTATTCAGACAATATGCACACATAGCACGTAATTTATATTAAAATACTTCATATCTATGTGTAAGATGAAAGTAACTATGCACTCACTTGTTAAAGTGATGATTCCAAACTAGGGCAGCGCTTCGCTTCTAACGATTCTATTTTCCTCCGACGAAACCTAGTATTATTACCATTAGATTTTAGTCTAATATTTACCGTGACTAATTATTAGTCTTAGCATTATTATTATTATTATATAAGCGTTTAAACAATATTTTCCAACCACTATGTACAGACAGGGGCCAGACATAAAACACCGGAGGGCAGGACCATTTTGGCATATAGCACTTCTGAAATCCAACAACCCTATGCGACCCTTTAAACCAGATTCCACGTACCGCGAGTAGTTAAAAATATATTATAACGAAACTTATATAAGTCATAATAATAGCCCAAATACTCATTATAAGATCCTAATAACATTACTATGTTGAAACATAAGCTATACTAAAGATAGGTTAGGCATAGCTTACTTACAGCGGGTTTTCTCAAAAACCGGGCGTCGCCGGAGCAGCGTTCCCGAGCCGAAAGGCTCTTTTCTCGGGGCTTCGGGAGCCTCGGGGCTTCCTTCGGGTGCTAGGGGGTTTACCTAGGCTTAGGAGGGGGTTTGGGGGCTAGAGAGAGAGTTTAGAGAGAGAGAGAAGAAGAAGAAGAAGAAGTTGGAATGGTGTGAAGAATGAGGGAACTCGTCACCTCTATTTATAGGCTGGAAAACAGCTCTACTCGTCGAGTAGGAGGACCTACTCGTCGAGTCCATGCCACATGTCACCTTCTGGTGGCTAGCCTTGGGGAGAAAGCTTTGGCCCATATTCAGCCACGTCACCCGATTTCGCACAGCACCCTGCCGGCTTCTAAACCCCGTAACTTTCGCATACGAGCTCCGTTTTCGACGTTCTTTATATCCACGCGTAGGTAAAAACAAGATCTACAACTTTCATTTAGACTCTATCGGCCAACTCTCGACCGATCTTAAATTTAACAGTAGGAGGAGATTAGACTGTTAAATGACCACGAAGAATTCGTAACTCCTTCATACGGACTCCGTTTTCGTCTGTCTTTTTATTGTTGAGTTCCTATTAATGAGATATTCAACTCTCATTTAGGTTGCGTAGGCCAAAAACTGCTCGAACTAAAATTCGAGTTTCGGGCCGTGCACTGCTATGCCAAATCTTAAAAAATTCATAACTTCCTCATACGAAGTCAGATTTGGGCGTTCTTTTTTTTGTATGTTCTCGGTTTAACGTATACTACAACTTTTGTTTAGATCACTAAGGCTAAAAAGTCCTCTATCGTAAATTCACTATTTTCGTCTCCCGGTGGAGTGGCGGTTTTGCCGAAAAACTTCGACAGGTCATAACTTCTTCGTTATAACTCGGATTTCGGCGTTCTTTATATGTACGGAACCCTTGAGACATATTCTACAACTTGGTTAAGATTATTTATTCTAAATAATCTTTTGTCTAAAAGTCGTTTTCGACCCCTATTATCTCTAAATTGACTAGCCCGGATCTACGGGCGTTACAAAAATCCAAATGCAAGAATAGTTTTTTGAAAATCAATTGCACAAATCTTAACCCATATTGTAAAATCTGATACTAAAAATACACAAAAATCTGAAAAATGAACAAAAGCGATTTTGAAATTCATTTCAATAATTGATTGAACAAAAATCCCCACAATCCGTTTTCAAGAACTTGAGTTCCAGAAATTGTTAACAGATCTGAAGCTCCTACCTCATCCCTTAACATTCCGTAAATAGTTTGCAGATCTTGAAATCCCAACTCCGGCCAGATGCAAAAATTATGATAGGTGTTGTTCGATGTTGTTCCAGAAATTGTGGTGGTTGGTTATATGTGGTCCAGATTTCCCAGAAGTCATGGACGACACTGGTGAGGTAAGAACCCCAACAACGTGGCCAACGCCGTCTACTTGCCTCCTTGACGCCGATGACAACCCAAGCACCACTGTCCAACAAACACCCCCGGCCACTAGTCACGTATGACAAACACCACCAATCACCTCTAAAATAAAGTTGCAATAAAACCCTTACCTCAATTTAAATCCAAATCCTACAAAAACCTGCAAAATCGAAGCTCTTGAGCACCAGCAAAATTATCGATGGTGGAGTAGATGAAATGATGAAGGTGGCGACCGCAGATCTACATCGTTCTCTTCGTCTCTCTCGTCTACATTGTGTGCAGGTGGCGACGACATCGTGATCTTCATCTCTCTCGCCCTCTATGTTTGTAGCTCTGACAGTTAGAGAAGATGAACTGATGAAAAGTCTGGGTTAGAGCAAGATCTTAAAGGTTTCTGGTAGTAGGCCTCAATTTTATTTTATTTTTCAATTGTTAATAATATAAAAAAATTAAAAATAAATCAAAATAAAATAGATAAGGGTAAATTTGTCTTTTTAGGTCTGATTAATGAAACCAGGGACGAAACGTGCAACTTTTAAACACATTAGGGATGGTCCGAGTTAATTTTTGAAAATAGGGACTGGACGTGCCTTTTGGCACCTACACAAGGAACGATTCGTGTACTTTACTCTAGAATCTTTGTTTCAATAAGAGAATTCAAAAGTTTGAATTTCGAGAAACAAATATAAATCAAAGGGGTGAGGCTATTTGCAATTGGACCCACCTATTTTTTTTTTAAGTATCTAAAATTTCTATAAAAAAAATTTTAATGACCTACCTTTAAAAAAAATTAGAACCTACCTTCTCTATAAAATCGTTGAATTTGTATAGAAATTTTCTATAGCAAAATTAGTTAACCATGTAGTTTTCTATTCTAGACTCGCTATATATATTTGTCAAAGGCTCTGGTTTTTAATGAATTGTCACAAAAATAAACAAGTAAATAAAAAAATCCAAATGATTTGTATTTCATATGAAAAAGCCATATCGATAGTTAAGATGTTCGTTAGTCTTAATAAAAAAATCGAAATTTTATATTCTTAACTTATCAAACAAATACGTTATTATCTTTTAGCAATAAAAGATAATTCACCAGAATTGAATGATTAAGAGTTGAGGGTCTAAAATGGAAATTACACAGAACAAAAGGGTCTGCATTAAAATTTCAAAACATTCTTGGATTTCAACGGCTACGGAGGGGGAGGGGGAGGAAGAAAAGGTATGCGGGACAGGTGGATGATCACCGGAGACTCGGATATGTATGGCGAACTGAACAAAAATCAAAAAATTCACGAAATTAGGGTTTTGAATTTTGCGAGGAAGAAGAAGAAGAAGAAGAAGAAGAAAGATGACGCTCTTGAAAGGAGCATGGGTAGGTGGAGTAAGATTCGGCGTAGGTGGCGGTGGCGGTGTCGGTGGGATGGGGGATGATTCCAGCGAGTTCGATTCCATTTCGAGAGACGAACATCTCTCCTCCGTCCACAGCATCCGTAGCGGTATTCTCCCCTCGCTCGGTTCTCAATCTACTCGGAGCGTCAAGCTTCGCCCCTTCACCATCAACCCTTTACATCATCGTTACAGGTTTCTAATCGTTGTTTGATTGTCAATTTGGTTCCTAATTTATGATTTTTTAACCATTCCATGTACAATGGAGCTGATTAGGTTTGATTTTATGCAGACTTTGGCAGGTATTTCTAGTTGTGCTTGTGTTTTACACAGCCTGGGTTTCTCCATTTGAGTTTGGATTTCTGGATTCACCTGCGCGTGTTCTCTCTATCGCTGATAATGTAGTCAATGCTTTCTTTGCCTTTGACATTGGTTTAACCTTCTTTGTCGCCTACCTGGATAAAATTAGCTACCTTCTTATTGATGATCGTAATCGTATTGCTTGGAGATATTTAACAACATGGTTCGTGTTTGATGTCATTTCCTCCATTCCTTCTGAAATTGGTAGGAAAATGTTTCCTAGTTCCCTCCATCCTTATGGCTACTTCAATATGCTTAGACTTTGGCGTCTTCGAAGAGTTGGTGATCTATTTGGAAGGTAAACTTATAAAAATCTTTGAAGTAAATCACTAAAACTCTAAATCCACAATATAAACTTATATTCAACACTAAATCAGGTTGGAGAAAGATCGAAATTTCAACTATTTCTGGGTTCGAGTTGCAAGGCTTGTTTGTGTGAGTATCTTTATGATTCCCATTCTTTGTACACACAATGCATTGAACAAAATTGTTCTGAATGAAGATCTTGATTATGTCATTGTAGGTAACACTGTTTTCAGTTCACTTATCTGCGTGTTGTTTGTATCTTATTGCACACCGTTATGAGGATCAGTCTGCTACATGGTTGGCTCTTGATGCGAGTGCTGCTAGAGAAAGCATACCAAGACTTTATGTAAGAGCAATTTATTGGAGTACAACCACATTGACTACTACTGGTTATGGTGATATTCATGCTGTGAATTGGAAGGAAATGTTGTTTTCCACTTGCTTTATGTTGTTCAATATGGGGTTGAGTGCATATCTCCTTGGAAACATGACAACTTTAATTGTTGAAAGGACTGGTCGAACAAGGAGGTTTGTAAGTGATTTTCCCTCATATATGTTATCTTTTTTTGTATCACTTGTTCAATTTTATTTGTGGGAAAATAACTTTTTTTTTTATGTATTTATGTATATGTAGAGAGAGACGATTCAAGCGGCATCAGGGTTTGCACAAAGGAACCATTTGCCTCCACGTTTGCAAGATCAGATGCTTGCTCATTTATGTCTGAAATACCGAGCTGACTCAGAATGGTTGCAACAACAAGAAATTATTGATTTGCTTCCAAAAGCTATTCAATCGAGTATTTCAAATTTTCTATTTTATGGGCTTGTTGATCAAGTGTACTTGTTTAATGGTGTGTCAAATGACACGCTGTTTCAACTGGTAAGGGCTATTATAGTATTATGGTGTTTTCTCTTATTGTTCATGTTAATTTTACCACTTGAATAACTATATAACTTGTTTCCTTTTTTTAACCTTGTAGGTATCAGAGATGAGAGCCGAGTATTTTCCACCCAAAGAAGATGTGATCTTGCAAAATGAAGCTCCAACAGATTTCTACATTTTGGTATCTGGTGCTGTGGTAATAATATCAAGCTCTTCTCCATATATCATAGCATTGTACTTTGAAAAGTCAACCCTATATTCCAATATTGTTTTTTAAATTAAATAGCTTTTGAATTGGACTTTTGACGCAGGAGATAATCTCTCGGAGATTTGGAGTTGAACAGGTACTTTACCAAAATGAAAATTATACCCTTTTAAACTATGATTTTTTTATTTTTCTTTCTAAAATGAAAAATAAAATTACTGTTTGTAGGTTGTTAGAGAGTTAAAAGCTGGGGAGGTGTGTGGTGAAATAGGTGTGCTTTGTTATAGGCCACAAGTATTTACAGTTAGAACAAAACGATTGAGCCAGCTGTTAAGATTGAATCGCACTCAATTTCGCAACATTATCCAGTCAAATGTTGCAGATGGGACAATAATTATTAACAATCTTCTTCAGGTATCTTTTGTAAGAAATAAAGAAAAAAGAGTAGTAAATTACATTTTTGGTTCTTGAGTTTAGCTAATGTTTTCGCTTCAGTTTCATTCCTTTTATAACATATTTTGCTTCATCAAACGTTTTTTTTAATTTTTTTTGGGATATGGAAATGATGCAGCATTTGAAAGAAAAATCAGACCCAATAATGGAAGCAGTATTGGCAGATATAGAAAATATGTTGTCTCAAGGAAGAATGGATGTGCCTTTAAGTTTATGTTTTGCAGTTTCAAGAGGTGATGATGTTTTGTTACATAAATTGCTTAGACGAGGTGGCCTTGATGCAAATGAGGTCGACCATGCTGGACGCACAGTTCTTGTAAGCTAACCACATTTTGATAATTTATTCCTTTTTTGCCCTTGGTAAGAATTAATTAAGCTAAATAAAATATTCTTTTTTCGGTTATTATTATTTTTATAGAATCTTGCAGCCGCTAGTGGAAGTTTGGAATGTGTGCTTTTACTCTTGGATTATGGAGCAGATCCAAATAGAAGAGGTATTGAACTTGTGAATTTGCATTTTTTGTTGAATCTAATCCATTTATGTAAAAATGGGTCAAATTGGGTTGTATTTATTGTTAAGGGGTTAAATGAGTAAAGTTAAAAAAAAATAGCCAAAAAGAGAATGGTTCAATTTCTGCCATTATAATGCTAAGAACACCCTTAATCAAGCTAAATAAACACAAGAATTGCAACCCCAAAATGAGGAACAGTCTGTATCATCGTACTTTCTTTTATTTAAAATATTTTGTCGTAACAAACGTACTTGTATTTATTTTTGTTTTATAGCATCTTACTTTCTTTTCTATATACTATAGCATCGTAATTTCTATTTTTTCTTATTAAGGCATTGTACTTCCAAAACTCTACCAAATTGTAGCATTGTATTTTCAAATTTTTTTGCGGTGAATTAAAGCGTGAGAGGGAGTAAATAAATAATAAAGTAGATACAAATGTAAGGAGGTACATATTGTATGCAAAGTTAAAAAGAAACTAGAACCTATACTACCTCGGTTTTAACTTTTAAGCCTTCACACATATCAAAAGTAGAATAAAATAATTAAAAGAAATGAAAGTAGGTTGCTATTAATAGTATATTCTTGCAGATACCGATGGAAACGTTCCCCTATGGAGTGCGATAGTAGGGCGAAACGAATCCGTGATAAAACTACTCGTAGACAACGGTGCAAACCTAAGCAACGGTGACGTAGGCGAATTCGCTTCATTTGCCGTGGAACAAAACAGCATCGAAATGCTACAAGACATAATCAAACACGGCGGTGACATCACGGTTAGAAACAGTATGGGGACCACCGCGCTCCACAAGGCCATATCCGAAGAGAAAACGTCTGTAGTCGAGTTTTTAATCAATCACGGATGCAACATCGACATGCCGGATGTCCACGGGTGGACCCCGCGTGACTTGGCACATCATCAAGCACATGAAGATATTTTGGATATGTTTAGGAAAAGACCCTCGCCTAAGGAGAAGCCACGGAGGAGAAAAACCAAACTTGATGGTGCGTCGTATCTTAAGAAGTACCAAAGTGAGCCGCGGATGCTGCATTTGCCTACGGAGTTGCCGAGGCTTTCGTCTGCGGGCGTGCAAGAGAGTAGGAAACGGCCCGATGATTTTAGTAATTCGCTTTTTGGGATCGTTTCGTCTGCTAGTCGGAAACAAAGTGCAGGTATTTATTCGATAAATTCCGGAAAGAATATGATTCCTTCCATTTTGTTAATTTTCATTCTAATCATGGAGTGGATAAAATAAATGCAAATAATATAAGTCATTTATATTTGTGTAATTTTATTGACTATCTTTTCGATGATTTTAGTTAAACTATAATTTTTATTTTATAAAATTAACAACACAATATATTTTCTTATTATTTAACATTATGTAGGTGATATAAGTTTTATACCGGCACCACTACCTCCCGGAGGCGATAAAATTGCTAGAGTGACAATTAGTTGTCCGGAGGCAAATGAACAAGTAGGGAAACTTATACGCCTTCCCGGATCTCTTCAAGACATACTTAATATCGGTGCCCAAAAATTTTCCATTACTCCTACAAAAGTTCTAAATAAAGATGGAGTTCAAATTGAAGATATACAGCTCATTAGAGATGGTGATCATCTTGTCCTTAAAACTTGATAGCTATGTATCAAGTTTCCAAGTTGTAACTAGTTAGGAATGTGTACAAGTATGCAGCCTTCCTTCCTTCCTTGTGTGTATGTCTGACCCATGGTAAGAGTTGAATGCTATATTCTCTTTGTTTTTTTGTAGTTTTTATGTAAAAACTATGAAAGATCATATGGGAGACATATGAACAAGATCAAAGGGATAAACACTTTAGATAAAGGTATGGATTTGTTAAAAGTATAGATGAAGATTCTTGATGAAGAAAGTTAGTGTATAATATTAGTGATCATTTGTAAATGTCATTAGAGAAGGGACTTTGGGTAAGCATGTCCAACCTACTCCTTATAGACAAAATATGCCCCACAATGTAAATCCTTTAAAAATATGATTATCTTTTTTAATTTTTTTTCAAGAAACATCTGATATACTTTTCCACAATGTATTTGGTGATTACTTATCATGGTTTTAAGATGCAACAATTATACCCCAAATCCTATAAGATCGTGGGAGAGGTAGGGTGTAGACAATCTTAGGGCTGTTTTTTTTCCCTTAAAGTCTGTACAAATAAAGCAGTTAAATGGATAATGAATTTTAGTTGTGTATTTAAATGTTTGTGTGTGTGTGTGTGAACTAAATAAGAACATGATTGTGTATATTTAACCCTTCTGCTTAGAAGTGTTGTTAAAAATTATAATGCTTTATATGTGATTTTGAAAAACGTTAATTTAATTTAGATAAAGTTTTGCGATTGGTCCAAAACTTGTGTCGTGAGTACAAATATCAAAACTGTAACGAGCTTGGTTTCTATAGATTGCTTGTTTGGTCCGTGTGCTTGATTGCTTTTGATATTGGCCGCTAGGACGCCCCACATGCCCCTCATGTGAGGGTATTTGTGTCTTTTCATTTGTCCTGTCATTCTAATCATAGTTATGAAGAGTATCTTCCAAAAGTCATCCATCTTATTTTATCTCATCCCCCAAAGAAACCCACAGTCCATATCTTCTTTAAGCAATTGTAACGAAACATAATTTTTCAAATGGTGGCAAAATCGAAACTTTTTAAATAGACATTGTACGATTCCAACTCTCTAATACATTAGTAGGTTGTATTTAAACACACAGATGTGTGTGTGTGTGCGTGAGAGAGAGAGAGAGAGAGAGAGAGAGAGAGATTAACATAAAATCTAAACTTGGTAAATGTTGTATGTAACAAACATATCTTTCGAAGCAAAAAGATATAATAAAATCTAATACAAGCAAAATTCTTTTGAATACTTGTTTCATTAAACTTGGTAAATGTATCATATTATATTCGATAGAAGGATTCCCATAGTACAATGTAAAAAATAGGCAAAGAATTGTGAGTAGTCATTTATACATCGAGTCAATTACTGTCTGCAACTTTCCTCAGTAATCTATCTTGGTGAACTGTTATTTTGCGAGTGGCCCTGAAACAACATTACACTTGGATTAGTTTTAGGGCTAAATGCAAGATTAGCAATGTACTTTCATGTATATGTGTATTTAGCATCTTACTTGCATTTTGGTACAATAATAAACTTTGAAAAATACACACAATTATATATCAGTGAGAAAAGGTTACTAACATGCAATAGGCGATCATTGAAACTTGATCTTAGCTTTAACTCGCCTCTATGTGTCATCATTTCATCAGCACCTACACGAAACCGATCATTGAAGCTTGATCTTAATTTCAATTCACCTTTTCGGGTTTTAATTTCATCAGGAGTGCCATGAAATTGGCGATCATTGAAGCTGGATCTTAGTTTCAATTCCCCTCTTCGCGTTGTCATTTCATCAAGTATTTCAGCTGAATCGATTTCAAAATCGTTCTCCATGATTTCCTCATTAGATCCTTCCTTCTGTTCAGATAAAGATATTTAAATATAAATACACTTATAAATGTTTAATTGAAACAAAAAATGAAGTGACATACCCGAGAAAGACTCATGCTTTGAACTGGCCTTCCGATGAATTCTTCATACTCAGATGCATCGAGTTCTTGAAGATGCTCAGGTGGAAACAATTTGGGAAGAAAATGCTCACGAATTGGAATTAGCAAGAAAAATGGTAATGGAAATAAAATTCCACCAGTTGGAATCCATGTGATTCCATAACAAATTAAGAAATAAACAAGTTGGAAGATTGTAAACATTGTTATGTATTTGAATGGAACCGATTCCACATATGATGCATGAAGCGACTCCAACACTCTGTCCAATTAAAAACCACAATAACGTCAGAAGGGTAAATTGGGCATTTACTTCATGTCAAAAATGGGGCTTACTTGAAACGTCGACCAGTAGGGATGAAAAAGAGCAACAATCGTTCCCAAAATTGATTTCCAGGAAGACTATCAATTGACATGTAGGCGAAGTAACCCCAAAGAACTGAAGTGGGAATCATTCTGATAGCAGGAATAGCGAAAACTGCAAATCCCACAAGTGTAGATTGAAGTAAATTTGTCACTCGTTGTTCATTGACTCTAACAGGTAAATAAGCCTCTATGTGTTTTTCGGGGTCAAACTTTCCCTTTGACTCTCCTCCATCATCACGCTTCATAACAGCTTCCTTTAAATTCTCCAACTCCTTGTCTACAACACTCTGAAACAAATACCAAAGAAGTCAATTTAATTCTTATTTTTAATTAAAAAAAAAAGGGAATATGAAAACGTACATTTGGATGAGGTTCCATTTCAACAAAAACAGCATGCATCCTCTCATATATTTTTGAGTTACTTGCTTCCAGCTTTATGCCTTCCTTGGCACATTTAACCATTTTCTTTCGCATCATCTATCACAACATATAAGAACTTTCATTCAGTTATATCAATGAAGATTTATTATAAAAAAATATACATAAAAAATATGTTTTTTCTTTTTGTATTTCTAACCTGTCTCTTGAGAACTGAAAGACTCCTTGTGTGCATGGGTGATTGTGGGAGAACGCCATTTGAAGGTGGTACACCAATCAAACCACACATCAAAGTCTAAAGTAACAAAACATACAAAATTAGTATAACTTTATAAAAATGAAATTAGCACAACTTTGTAATAAAAAAAAAATCAATTTATATATACCATGATCCCAAGCAAGAAGACATCATAATGATAAGCAGATGGATTTTGAAGATTGAATTCCTTTTGTTGAGCCATTTGTGCAGCTACACTATGATCAAAAAAGTACAATGCTGCTATCATCATAGCTGGAACTATAGCAGTAAAAACATGAACAGCTGGAACCTTCACCATATCCTGTAATAAAACAACCAATTTTTTGAGTAAAATAAAAGAAATATGGAAAACATGTCTATATTTCTATGATTTTTTATACCTTGATAACAGTCCAATGGGATAATGATGCAGCCTCCCAAGGAAGAGGACAAAAGAGTCTCCTTGGAACTTCATGAGGAAGTCCTGCAGGCTTAGCATAGGATATTACAGTCCACACCACAACCATGAGTGGGACCCCATAATCTGCTACAAAACTTCGTATCCACCCTGTAACAGTTTCATAATCAGATCCAAAAAAATTAAAAAAGTAAAAATTATTTTAGATACTTGTTAATTATTATCATTTACCTGTACCATAACGCCAAGATCTAGCACCTCTACTTTTCATGGAAGTAATGAGGATACCAAATGAGAAAATGACAGCTAGCAGACCATTTGTGTAAAGCCATTGAAACTGATACTCTTCTAATTTAGGGTTTTCTCCCTTTGGAATGCTAAATTCACTGATTACTCCCTAAAGTTACAATGTAAATTGTGTTAAAAGAAAAAACAAATTGTAAAGCATTTTGTATGCATTAAAATTGAAAGTTTTGTCACAAGGTGGGACGAAGACTCGTAATGTGAAAAAGACGAAAATGTCCTTCCCATCCTGATTTAAAAAAAGTAGCACAAAAGTAGAATGAATGTGAATACCCGAATAGCTTCTTGCATAAAAAGAACAGAAATCAGCATGCCAAAAAGCTCTCCAGCAACCCTTGTAAATCTTGTGATGAGTGTGCAAGCATTTAGTATAGCAAGAACACACAGCATGATAGAAGTCCAGAAACAAACCCTAATTCAAAAAAGTAGAGATTTTATCAAGGATTTGATGGAAGAAAGAAAGAAATCAATGATTATAAAACTTCAAAATAATATAAGCATAACATCATACTCTTGTTTCCATCGATTACAGCATTGTAATCTCAATTTTATTTTTCATATTAAGACATTGTACTTGAAAAATCTACCCAATTATAGCATTACACTTACTTTTTTCACATTAGAACATTCTCTTTGAAAAATCCACCCAATTACAGCATTGAAAATTGCTTTGTATTTGGATAACATTGCTATAATTGGGTAAATTTTTTAAACTATAATGTAATAGGAAGAAATGAAAGTTAAATGCTTTAATAAACAAGTCAATATAAGTATTATGGATTCTTCAAAGTACATTTGTCTTAATAGGAAGCAATGAAAGTAAGATGCTATAATAAACAAATAAATGAAAATACATTGCTATTTCTTGCATTTAACCAAATTACAAAACATGCATACCAGCCAACCCATGCTAGAAACAGTTCTTTCCCTAACTCAGGCCTTCCTTTTGCAAAACCATACAAGTAATTGTACATTATCACTGTAGGTTCAGCAACTCCTAGTATCAAAAGAGGTTGCCCACCAAAAATCGCGTGTATAATTCCACAAATTGCAGTAGAAGTCAGAGTTTCAACTGAACTTAATGTCCCATCTGCCCTCAATGAAGAAAAAAAAACAGGGTGAGTTTATACATTTCACATTTGTGACAAGTTTATTATAGCATCCTACATTCACATTTTCATATTACAACATTTCAAAAAAACCCAAAATATAATGTCCTGAATCCTAATAAGAAAAAGAATGGAACTACAATGCTATAACTTGGTATATTTTTCAAAGAACAATGCCTTAATAAAGGTTATATGGTTATACCTGTATCCCTATTCAGCTGCTCACCAA